AACTGCATTCTGCTGTTGGTTGTGCCGAAGCAAAGACCGGTCATCATAATTGCACATCAGGTTACCGGTGAGAAATCTGTGGTTGGGGGCAGCATCATAAGGTACGTTGCTCTCTTCCTTATTTACCCTCTTCATCTCTTCTTACCGTGAGGAAGTGAGTTCTGTCTTGAGAGTCCTCTCGATGTGAGGTGTCGCGAGCGCTATACCTTGAGAGTCGACATTCTTCCTGGGCAGCAAGCTGGTGGGAGACGGGCGAAGCCTCTGAAGGGCCCTGGACGAAGCACTCGGTTCACGGTCACCATGCCAACCCGCTGGACTAGTACACGCATGCTTGGGCCGCAAGTCCTTGTTCTGCTGCTTGCGCAAATAGAGGTCAACTCGGGCATGGCAGCCTCTATGAGACACTCACCAGACCGTCTATAAACATTTCTGGTTGGGGACTCGGATTGAATCTCGCCGTGATCGTCGTCCTGACTGCGACATTCAAAAATTCCTGAAGAGATGGGGGCGCTCTTAATAATCCTCCTGATCAGCCAGATCAACCGGGTGTAAGGCTCGTCGGCGTACAAGGGTAAATAAGAGTGTTGTGGCTGCCTTGCTCGACGATGACTTAAGGCACAGGGGTGGGACCGGATTGCACACCTTTAGGCACGCTGCTCAACCAAATGCTCAGGGACGTTGACACAAAGTGACTACTCGAGAGGGATACAAGGGGGGGGGGGGATTCCGGTAACTGTTCGCAGTGGCAACCAACAGACAATCTGCCATCAAGCATACATCTCCAACAGGAGATGTTATTTTCTGTTTTGATTATCTAGTTGTTACCGACTTGCTGACAACTGACAGACAGCTACAGATAGACTAGACCTTTGCGGTATTGCAATCTGTTCCAGGGTAATCTAAAAATAGATGTAATATATCCTGTAGGACCTGACATTAGTTGTAATTATATCACCTAACTGTTTTGTCCCATCCGACCGAAAGTTGTGTTTCATAATCGGTTGTGTGTCAAGCAAAGGTAGGATTCAGTTTGGGTTCTAGTTTAGATCACACACACTGTAGCTCACGAGTGATACAAGCACAAGTGAGGAGGAGCTACTAGTGGACGACCGTAGGACTACTCGCGGGACTGCCCGCAGTCGACCCTTGACATTCCTGGAGTTAGGTCCAGGAGACGAGAGAAGATTGAGGAGAGAGGCTAGAGAGAGGGCAATGGCAAGGAAAGCGAGGGCAGCTGAGGACAGTGCTAGAGCTAGAATTACAGCTAGCCTCAGTACAGCCATGGCTACCTCATCTATGACGCAATCCTCTACACAGCCCACTTCGTCAGGAGTCAGTCAGAGTGGTACTCAGCCAGCCACTAGTCAGATTGGTCATGTGCGAGTCAGCCAATCTCCTATCACGTCGGAGGACTTGGAAATCCGGCAAGCAGAAGAACTTAAGGATGAGCTTCAGCGGCAGATGGACGAAGTAGTAGAAAGGAGAAGAAAAGTTATGCAACGAAAAGCTAGACTAGAGAGTAGATTGTGGGAGTTAGGCAGACTGGAAAGACTAGATGAGGCAACATTAGACCCTGTTGTTCGTGCTGCGAGGCGCCTTACTCTCAGTGGCGGAAGCGCAAAGCGTTTAATAGGAATTGTTGGCTGATTTGGTAGCAGGCCAGAAACAAATTCTGGCTGAACTTCGGGGCATTCGCCCGACGGCGAGGACGCCACAGTTTATTGTAGTTCCCCTTGTAGGTGCGGGTTTATCATCGATGCCGCAACGCACAGGTCAAACTTTCTCTCCTATGTTTGGCATGCCCTCCCCAGGTGGTTTAGGTGCAACTAGTGGTCCGGTTCATTCAGTCTCAGCCGTACCATCTACAACAGTGGTCACTACAGTCCCACTGTCCAGCCAGGCTCAAGTTAGTATGCAACAGCCTGTTTCAGTGGCTATGCAGCCGCTGCAGCAAGCACCTGGGCCCATGCAGTCGATGTAGTGGATGCCCAAGATACCTCTAATGAGTCCCAAGCCTTTCTCTAGAGACAAGAAGAAGGAGGAAGACTTGGACACCTGGGTGAGGACTGTGCCTACTTATGTGAGGCACAAACTCACAAGGCCAGAACAAGAAGTTGTGGTGGCTGCCTCCTTTTTAGAAGGATCAGCAGCCCGCTGGTTGAATGGCTTGGTGCAGCAACAGGGCTACGGTCAGGATTTCGATGCCTGGGCTCAGTCTCAGACATTGGAACAGTTCGTACGGTCCGTCTACAACAGGTGGAATGACCCGCAAGGGGCTCAAAAGGCCACGGATGCTATCAACAACCTTTGTTCCCATAGGTTCAAGGATGTTAGAGAGCTTACAGACACCGTACAACGCCTTCTCATGGTACCTCGTGTGCGTTTTGACCCGCAGGTTCTCCTAACGGATTACCTAAGGTGCCTACCTACAGAGGTAAGGACCAAGCTGGTTGATGAGGCCTATATCGACCAGCACACTTTTGCTTCTTTTAGTAAGAAAGCACTGGACATAGAGGCAAAGCTAGGATCTGCGCATAAGGCATCCAATGATGGTAGGAAGAGACTGCCCCAAGATTGGAAGAAAAAGGGTCAGTTAATGTTCGTTGACCACGATGGTCAAACGACGGAGATTGACGACTACTCAGATCTTGGGGAGTTCACAGAGCACGATGGGGATGGTGAGACTTCAGATGGTGGAGTCGTGGCACCCATCAAAGAAATTGCTAGGGGGACCGGGGAGAAGAAGGTAGTACGGTCCACGGGTTAGGGCGACCAAGGAACACCCGCATGGGTGTAGATTGGTTTAGAATACGAGGTGTGGCGTGACCGCGTTGCTAGGGGTACATGCATGAACTGTGGCAACTTTGGCCACACGTCCTGGACTTGCTGCGGCAAGAAAGTCACAACGAAGGTAGCCTCACCAACGGTGGTGGGCTTACCTTTGAACCTCAGGAGTGCTTCTGCGAGCAGCTCACAGGGAAACACCTCGGGCCAGTAGGAGTGTTAGCCGCTCTTACTCGCGCTGAAGTGGTAGTGTTGCCTTCCCCACTTCAGGCGTTGGCCTACGCTAGTGACCCACATATCGCCCGGCAGACACATACAGACCCACCGACGCTCTGTTCGAAAGATGTGTCTGAGGCCCTAGAAGAGTTAGAGACTGAGTGGTCAGGGAAGGACCCCATGGACTTTTGGGCGATGATCAGTAGAGGTCCAAAGGGTGAACATTTCGTGGTAGAAGTAGATCTAAGTGGCCGCAAGATTGCCGCCTTCGCAGACACAGGCTCTACACAAAATTTCATCAGTCGTGCTTGTGTGGATAGACTGCGCTTAGGGGACCAAGTACAGCAGCTTAGCAGAGCTGTAGCTTTTACGCTAGCCAACAAGCACCAAATGATAGTAAAAGACTATGTCAAAGACGTAGCCTGTTCCTTCTCCTATGGAGGAGGGGAAGTGATCCACAAGATCTCCTTCTTGGTTAGCGACGAACTTCCTTTTGATATGCTCCTTGGTATGTACTACCTCGAGGCCGCGAAACAGCAGTTGGACTGGAATAGAAAGGTATTGATTCACAAGTTGCCCAACGGTAGATCTATTAAATTGCAAAAGTTCAAAGCTAGCAGTCTAATAGACAACTACGGGTGCATGTGTGCATCATCTTTCTATAACTATTATAAACAGAATCGCGAGAAAGGCATGTATCTAGTTTTTGTCTCTGAGAAAGGGGAGGCCGTAAAATCACCCCCAGAGATAGAAAAAGTCATCGCTCAATATTCAGACCTTTTTGAGGAGCCCACAGGCGTGGTGGAAAGGGAGGTGGTCCTTGTAATAGAGGTTGTCCCAGGTAGTAAGGTGCCTAGAGGACGAATCTATAGGATGTCTCCTGCGGAGTTCGATGAGCTTCGCCGCCAGCTCAAGGAGCTCACAGAGAAGGGATGGATACGACCTAGTACCTCCCCTTACGGTGCGCCAGTCTTATTTGTTCCTAAGAAGGGAGGTCCATTAAGGATGTGCATTGACTATAGGGGCCTCAATGCCATCACCGTTAAGAACGCGGAGCCCCTACCCCGCATTGACGACCTCTTGGATAGAGTGCAGGGATGTCGATACTTCACAAAGATAGATCTGAAGTCCGGATACCATCAAATTGCCGTTAGGCCGGAGGACCAACACAAAACCGCATTTCAGACCAGGTACGGTTTGTACGAGTTTGTGGTGATGCCTTTTGGCCTATGCAATGCGCCTGGTACGTTCCAGCACGCGATGAATAGGATCTTTCATGACTACTTGGACAAGTTTATCGTCGTGTACCTCGACGATATTCTCATCTTCAGTAGGACTGTAGAGGAGCACCTTGAGCACTTGAAAATAGTGCTAGGTCTCCTAAGACAGCACCAGTACAAGGTAAACTTGGATAAATGCGAGTTTGGTCGCACCAAGATCTTGTACTTGGGTCATGAAATTTCAGCAGATGGATTGAGGCCGGAAGATGCGAATGTGGCCAGCATGCGTGACTGGCCCAGACCTCAAACTGTTACTGAGGTCAGATCGTTTTTGGGGATGACGGGCTACTATCGTCCGTTTGTGAAAAACTATAGTACTATAGATTCCTCATTGACAGATCTAACTCGACTTGATACCCAATGGGAGTGGACTGAAGAGTGTGAGGCAAGCTTCAAGCAATTGAAGTATGCTCTAACACACTATGAAGTTGTCAAACTTCCCGATCCTGACAAGCCGTTTGTCGTGACAACAGACGCCAACCAATATGGCATTGGCGCTGTCCTTGCCAAAGTTGAGACCGATCGAGTATATGAGTAAGAAGATACCTTCCAAGAAGCTAGCTGCGTCCAGTTATGAAAGAGAGCTCTACGCCCTATATAGAGCGCTAGTTCATTGGCGACATTACCTCCTAGGGAGATTTTTCTATGTGAGGTCTGACCATGAGACTCTGCGCTGGATTAAGACGCAGCCCGTGTTGTCTAACGCACTCAAGAGATGGATTCAAGTGATAGATATGTATGACTATCAACTTGATCCTATCAAAGGTCCGTACAACAAAGTGGCAGATGCGCTGTCAAGAAGGGCAGACTATCTAGGCGCGGCAGACTATCTAGGCGCACTAGTAACAGAATTCGGCATATCTAATGATCTTACTCAATCGTTGGTGGAAGCCTATCAGGGAGTTACAGTTATGTCAGAGATCCTTCGTAGATTCCAAGCAAAGGACAAGAAGACTTTGGACAAATTTACCATGGTAGATGGCTTGCTGTTCCTTGAAAAGGCAGGGTTTAAAAGACTATGTGTCCCGGATAGTGAGTCTTTGCGTAGTTTATTTTTAGGAGAATGTCATGATGATGTAGGTCATTTTGGTTACAGTAAGACATCAGCAAACTTAGTGCAAAAGTTTTGGTGGCCTTCTATGATGAAGGATGCAAAACTGTATGTCGAGACTTGTCAGGTTTGTCAAAGAGACAAACCCAGGACTCAGGCTCCGCTTGGGGTGATCAAGCCCTTGCCGATCCCTGAAGGTCCAGGTCAGAGTGTCTCCATGGATTTTATGGACACTCTTGTGACCATCAAAACCGGCAAACGACACATATTCGTCATAGTAGATCGCTTTACTAAGTATGCCAGACTTATCGCTATGCCGGAGACAGCAAAGACAGATCACGTCATCAAACTGTTTATGGATAACTGGGTAAGGTATTTCGGTCTACCTACGTCAATCGTAAGCGACAGGGATGTAAGATTTACCAGCGAACTGTGGCAGTCTATAGCTGAACAGATGGGAACCAAACTCCAGATGACATCAGGGAATCATCCTGAGTCAAATGGACAGGCAGAACAGATGAACCGAGTGGTACAGCAGTTGCTGTGGCACTACATCAAGCCAAGTCAGGATGACTGGGGCGAGAAGTTACCTCTCGTCGCCAGCCTGTATAATAACGCAGTGCACAGTGCTACCGGAATGACTCCCAACCAACTGCATCTTGGTTGGAAGCCTAGAACTGCCTTGGACTTCTAACTACCGGAAAGAGAATCCACTGCAGCACCTGGCAGCATAGAGTTTGCTGTTAAGTATGAACAGATGCTGTAGCAAGCCGTAGAGCACATTAGAAAAGCTCAAGATGCAATGATAGCATATGAGAATAAGCATAGACGGCCTTCTAATTTCCAGGTAGGTGACAGAGTTTGGGTAAAAGCATCTGAACTTGGTCWGGAGCTAGGCATCTCTAGAAAATTGATGCCACAATTCTTCGGTCCGTGGGAGGTCCTAGATGTGATAGGAGATCAACCGGATGGGCCATCCTATGTGATTCGCATCCCACCCCATCTACGCACCTACCCTGTATTCCATGCTTCAATGGTGGCACCTTTCGCTGCTACTGAGCAGTTTCCTTCCAGGAGATCAATGCTGCCCCCAACCATGGATGGCGAAGTGGACATCGACCAGATTGTCGAGCATCGAGTGATGCCTGTTCCACGACCATCAGGCAAAGGGCGCCCTCCTAAACCACGGATACAATACCGGGTGAGTTTCAGACATCACCTGGATCCTAAAGAAGATCGCTGGTTCACATGGGAGGAACTCATGAGAACAGCGCCTCAAGTGATTGCAGGCTATGAAAGAGAACGAAAAGGGAAGATGCCTGCAGAATAAGAGACTTCTCAGAGGACTCACGAAGTTAAGGAGGAGGGAATGCGAGGATCAGTGTCCTCGGTAGGCCTACTGGACCCTGTCTGCAGCCTTACCTGCCCTAAGTGAAGGCGGAGGTGCCCGCCCTAAGTGAAGGCGGGCCTGGCTTTTTGCAAGAGGCCCTCGACTGTCAATTTCATATTTGGGGTCCAGGCAGTTGCGACGCGCCAGTTGGTTGAAAGAAACACAGGCCGAGTACCGAAGACATTTCCACGGCCTACCGGGCCTTTCCAAAGAATGCAGGCCCTGGGCGTGATTCGCAGCCTCATACAGAGACAGTTGGGCGCCCAACCGAACGAGGCCCAGCAGCCTAGTAGCTGCTGCATCCAGACAGCATCCTAGGGCCTTCCGGAAGCTGCTGGGCCCAGGCCAGCCCAGCCAGGCTGCGAGAGCTGGCCAGGTCTTTTCCATAAAGGAAAGAGCTCTGGCCAGGCAGCCTCATTCAGGCACTCGCATGCTGGCGGCAGCGCTGCTAGAGCAGATGCTCGTGGGCTGCTGCTAGCACTGGGAGGCGAGGTGCAGCACGTGCGGTCGTGCAGAGGAGGAGGGCGCTGCTAAGGGCAGCGCCATAGCCCAGCCACCATAGCTGGTGGGCTTGGACTACAGTGAAGAGCAGGGGTGGTCTTCGGGTGACAGAGAGGACAGGTGTGGGTGAAGTCAGGGGATAGGTGAAGGATGATGATGATGATGATGATGTGAGGGCACGTACCTTGTATTGGCGATGGTCTGCATGGGCGGCATCTTCAAGTACTTCGGGCTGCTGCTGATGTCAACAGTTGCATTGTCTTTTTGTAGTCTGTAGTAGCTGTGTAGGAGTAGGCTGGGAGCTGAGCGCCAAGTGTGAGTGTAAGGGAACTGGATTCGCGTGTTGAGGGAGAGAGTGTGCTCTCCACGGACATTGGTTTTCAGTGCTACGAAACTCCATTGGTGTATTATTGGTGCAATGCTGCTATCTGGACACGGTGTGACTATTTGACTTGAAATGTGATGGTGTGATCTGGGATTGTCATCTCGCTGTTGCTTATTTTCCTTGCACATCATAGAGAACTCACAAAAAAAAATTCAGAAAAAAAAACTTATTTTTAGGCCCCGAAATTTGTTTTGGCGGGGGCCGAACCTGGAGGTGTTCGGCCCCCGAACGGGACCCCGAACGCCCGAACGTTCGGGGGCCAGCCCGGGGCCCCCCGAACGTTCGGTCAGGTAACCCTGTAGATCATAAATATATAATAAAAATTTAGTAAAGATGTGGTCATAATGCGGCTAGATCATGGCACAACCACCGTACCCAACCAGAGATTCAATTTTTTTTTTTTTTTTTAATTCTTTTTGTACGAAGAAAAGGCCCACAGGCTTGAAATCTTATCACCAAACAATTGGGATTCATCTGGAAGCCGTTTGCAAAAGAACAAGAGAACTTCATCCCTAAAGTGGCCTGGGAGATGCTGTGTCTCCCAAGAACAGAAGGGGGAGTCCGACTGGGAATGCGAGACCCGTCAAAGCAAAATGAGGCAATGCTGGTGCAATGGATCATGAGCGCCTGTTTCGAAGAGCCAGTCCCTGACTGGGTGCACTTAGCAGAGAAGATTGTAGCAGACCAATGGAACCTGCTGAGGACGGGAGATGTATGGACCTGCGTCTTCCTTCACTCTTACCGAAAAAGGAAAGTTAAGTCGCTGCTGTGGGCAACACTGATTCAGGCTTGGAGGAAACTGCGGCCAGACGTATGGGTGGAGCCGGTCACAAAAGCACAAATCCTCGCACAACCAATCTTTGAGAACCCGAGGATACGAGGAGAGGATGACCAGTGGCTGGGTGCAGAACCCCAAAGCGTGGGAAGGGGGTGGATGGAATGTTGCAGGCGCATTGGTCAAACCGAAAGGCATAACCACGGACTCGTAGTAACCATACCTGGTTCCGAACGTCGTCTTGAGTTGATCCTCAGGAGCCACCTCGATCTGGTGGTACCTTGACTTGAGATTAATCTTGTTGAAGAGGGATGCGGAGAATTAGAGATATTTGGCATGCTTTCTTAGAAGATTGTCGAACAGTGGAAGCGGTTAAGGAGAGCCTGAGACAAATGAGGCAGTTGGAAGAGAATCTGGCAAGTTTCATCAACGCTTACCCCAATAGAATGTAAGAAACTGTTACTTGCCCCAGATTCGGTAGACCCAGCGGGAACTCGGTACATCCAAGAGACACAGAATGAACAGAACCTGGGGCGGCTACTTGAAATCCAACCAGATGGGAAGAGAATCTTTCAGGGTTGGGAAATGTCTAAGTGAAGCCAACGCATTACAGAAACAATGGAAGGCAGTCGACTGCTCGGCTCTGCTTTGTCCCAAGAAAGGGTGATCACACACAGCAGGATCGAGCCCAAGAGTTCTATTCGCGGGAGGGAATCCCATTTCCATGATGACGACAGACCCAGGAATGTGGGAATGTGGCGAGCACAGTGCAGAGGAGGAGCGAACGTAAGTCTGTTAAAACACTACACAACAGATTGGATACAAAATGGTTACATACTGCAGAAGCATCCAGAGAATGTTAGCCCGAACCAGGTGCATGCAACTACTGAATTTGTTAAAAAAAAAAAAAAAAACAGAAACTACTGGATTTAGATCCAGATCAAAAAATTGCAGAGGCATTCAACTTGGAGGAATGTTGGGAGCAGCTAAAGCTGATCCCCACTTGCCAGAGGCAGGCAGGCATCTGATGAGGGGGGGACTGCCATCAATGGCGACAGACAACTCCGTCGGCAGTGTGGTTAACGGAGCATGGCGTGACCGTGGACTTGACATGCACCAGGTGTGAATGGGCTTTCGAGTCAACAGGGGTTGCACCATCAGTGGTTGGACTGCCGGACGTCGGGCAGAATATGGAAATGGTGGGAGAAATTCTGGGAGGAAAAAATGTACCTGGGGGCTCGTTCCCATGGATGAAGGCATGGACCTTACTACAAGGAGTCCATGAGAGAGAGGTAGAGGATCTCAACAGGACGGGGCTATGTGGGCCCAAGGGGGGCGAGCGGTAGGATGTGCTGCAGTGAATTTGCAGGAAAGAAATGCCACGGTTCAGCGCAAAGGAATGGACAAACACGCAGATGAGAAGGACATTCACTCAACAATTGAGACGGCCTGACTTCCTTTTCTTGCGGACTGGAGAAGAAAAGTCAGCAAGGCTGTCCTTAGGGACAACCGTTAAAATTGGAATGATACAGAGAAGATTAGCATGGCCAAAAAAAAAAAAAAAAAAAAGTTAGTAAGGCAAGGAACAAAGGAGCAGGGGGATCAAACGGTTGGTAGACACATGGTGAGAATAGGGTGGCAAGATGACTAAGAAAGAATGGCATTAGGTTTGCAAAAGAGTAGAGTAAGGTCGAATGGATGGATGAAGGAAGGACCAGAGCACTCTGTCGGCCGGCAGGTCTTGGAATCAGTCGCTGGAGACAGGGAGAGGGAATGTAGGCGGTGGGAGTGCTGGCAGGATAAACCTGTGTCTTACCGCACTTTTGGAAAAGAATAGAGTAAGGTCGAAACTAGACGGCACATTAGGATACAGAAGAAAAGTAGTGCGGTAAGACACAGGTGGAAGAGATGGAGCTAGGAGGGTGGGGTGGGGCTTTTGTTGCTTTGTTCAGCTTAAACTTTTGTTCTTTTGGATTTTTGGCATTGCTGGCCCTGGAGGCAATCGTAGTTGTATGGCTCAGAGTGGGAATATCAGGACAAATGTCCCTGGGACCAAAACTGTTCCTAGTTTCAAGTACCCCCCTGAAGCCTAAGCTAAGCTGGCTGATGCTGTCAGTAAGTTCATCGGGGTTGAATTGTGAGGATCCCCGGCCTTGTTGAAATGATTTTTAATAAAGTGCTTGATTTATATATATATATATCGTCACAAACAGAACTGCCCGGTAAAACCGTAGGCAGAGAGAGAGAAGAGGACAACGAACGAGGGGCTGTGAATATATATATATATTATCATCAAAGTTGATCAAACTGACCGGCCCTCTGGTAATTCAGAATTGTAGTATTTCACTCGTCGTCGGCTTCCAGTGGTGTTCGAATTGTAGTATTTCACTCATCGTCGGCTTCCAGTAGGGGTTCACAAACCCCACTGGAAGTGCATCGGCTTCCAGTGGATCTGGATTTTTGCAACACTTGAGGGCTGTACCAACTGAGCCAGGCCAGTGGGTACCCAACTACAGATACTTCTCTCTTTTTGGTTTAATTAAATGTGAAAAATCCGAATGCGCTTTCGACCATATCCTCTGCCGGAGGTACATAATTGCACACTAAGTCATTCTCAACTGTTCATTAAATGAAAAGGAAAAAAAAAAAAATTGCATTTCTTTGTCTTTGAATTAAATTCTTTCTTTTTCTTCCCTTTTTTCCCTTTTTTTTTCTTTTTTTTTTCCTGGAGAAACATACCACTTTCCATTCCAAATGAGACCACCGGGGCCCCTGGAACACACCCCCTACATACCAACGCGGTACAAACTTGCTGAGGCCGTTACTCAGCTTAGGCTCCTGGAAACCAGGTCCAGTGTCCCTTAGAGGAATCTCCAAAAACGAAAAGAAAAAATTGCAAAGCAAATCTATGTCAGTACAATATCATTGCATCCCCTCTGATGGCTGGAGGGAGACAACAAACCTATGTTTTTTGCAGGGGTCCCCTGTCTAAGGGCCTTGCTGCACGTCACACGAAACGAAAAACGGAAGGAGTGCATCTTCCCGCAGAAAATGGCCAGGTTCATCCGTTTGCTATAAATAGTAACGTGTATATTGCCACCTTCCGTGGCCAGATGCACTCGTTTCGTTTTCGTTTCGTGAACCGTGCGGCGAGGCCCTAAGCCGTAGGAGTAGTAGTAGGTATGTAGTGAAGGTGAATTGAAAGAATTTGAAAGATGATGAAAAAGATTTGAAAGAAGAACATAGCGTAGTTAAAAAAAAAAAATAAAAAAAAAATCATTGCTACTCACAGGGAGGAACCGGCATGTCGTTTCTAAGGGTCTCGCCGCACGGCACAGTGGAACGAAAACGAAACGAGGGCATCTGGCCACGAAAGGTGGCAAAATACACTCGTTACTATTTATAGCAAACCGATGAACCTGGCCATTTTCTGCCGGAAGATGCACTCGTTTCTTTTTTCGTTTCGTATCCCGTGCGGCGACGCCCTAAAACCGAAACACTATTGGCAAAAGAACAAAAAGAGTTATAAACCGCAAATGTCGAGAAAGCAAGAAAAACAGATTTCGTTCCATTAGAAAGAAAGCTTTCATTCCATTATTGAAAAAAAAAAAGATTTCCATAAGGAGAGAAATCTATAAAAGAAAATAATAAGACTTATTTCCATCAGACGAGCAACCTGCTCGGAGTAATCCCTTCACCGATACTTTCTTTTCTTTTTTTTTAATTTTTTTTTTTTTGAGGAGGAGGAGGAGGAGAAGGAGGAGGCAAAAAGAGTGCAGGCAAGATGCTGATGCGGAGGCAAGATGATGACGATCATGGGGATGGAGGATGAGGGATGGTGATGGATTTGATGGCGATGGATTATGATGGCGATGGACGATGATGGCGATGAATGATGATTACGATAGATGATGATGGCAAGGAATGACGATAGCGATGGAGGAGGATGACGATGGATGATGATAATTACGATGATGGCGATGGATGACGATAGCGATGCATGATGATGACGATGATTGATGATGGGGATGGCGATGGGATGGGGGGGGATGGTGATGGTGACGATGGCGATGATGGAGATGGATGATGATAGCGACGGCGATGGTGATGATGGAAGATGATGGCGCTGGCAATGGCGATGGATGATGATGGCGATCGCAATAGATGATGATGTGATGGATGATGATGGTGATGGATGATGACGACGGTGGATGATGAGGGCGATGGCGATGGATGATGATGGATGATGATGGCGATGGATGATGATGATGGAGATGAATGATGATGGCGATGGATGATGATGGCGATGGATGATGATGGATGATGATGGCGATGGATGATGATGGATGATGATGGCGATGGATGATGGTGACGATGGATGATGATGACGATGAATGACGATCACGACGGCGATGGCGATGGCGATGGTGATGGATCATGGATGATGGATGATGATGGCGATGGATGACGATGGCGATGGATGATGATGGTTGATGATGGTTGATGATTGATGACGATGACGATGGCGATGGTGATGGTGATGGTGATGGTGGTGATGGTGATGGATAATGGAAGATGATGGCGATGGATGATGAGGGATGGTAATGGATGGTGATGGCGATGGATGACGAGGGATGGTAATGGACGGTGATGGCGCTGGATGTTGAGGGATGACGCTGGATGATGATGGATTATGATGGCGATGGCCATGGCCATGGATGATGATGGCAATGGATGATGATGAGGGATGGCGGTGAGGAGAAGACAGAAGAAAGAGGCAAAAGGAAAACGAAAACAAGATGAGGAGGAGCGATGGTGAGCCGAAGGGGAAATCACTATGATTTATGATAGAATTTTATTTTTATTTTTTTTGTTATTTGGGCTGACAATGTTGATGCCTATCTTCTTGACCCGAATAGAACGCCCGGGGAAGGGGGGCGGCCCAGACCCATCTATAGCGACCGGATGTTCCATTCGGGCCCGCTCATTCGGCCCAAACGGTAATTAAGTTGACGATTCGATTATACCGATGACTGATCACGCCGGCCAAATGATTGATTACTATGATTACGTTGTCGATGGTGCTATTGTGTTATTACGTTTCTCATTAATTATGTTAATACTGTAATTAACGCGTCTAACATGATTGATTAAGTTGCTAACGATGATGATCATGATGATTGATTATGATGATCATGATGATCGTGATGATTGATTATGATGATCATGATGATGATTAGTGATTATGTTGTTCTTGATGATGATGATTGATTATCTTGTTCTTGATGATGATTAGGATTATCCTTAGGACGATGATGATGATTGATTACGTTTATGATGAATTATGTTGATGCATTTTATTTATTTATTATTTTATGAGATAATGATGCTGACGACGACAGATATGGAAGCCGAAGCGCAATTCTTGAAAGGTGAAGACGACGATGAAGCCCGCGTGCCGAAGAAGAACTCCATTTTCCAATTTCTTACATTCCATCATCATCCATGATCGTTTCTCAAGAAGAATCGAACACACGACCTCCCTCATGGGACTCGCACGGTCGACGACCAATCGGCTAGGCTAACCACGTGCCTCACCACGCTACGCTGACCCAAACTGCTAACCACGTGGCTCACCATGTGGCTATGGCAGTTAGGGGGCATCCTCTTCTTTCCGTCATCTCCGTTATTCGTTTTTCTTTGTCGCCGTTTTTTCCCCTCCTGCCGCTTTCTCTTCTTTCGTCGCCGTCTCCTCCTCGTTATCATCATCATCATCATCATCATCATCATAATTATCATACGCATAATCATCATCATCATCATCATCATCATCATCACCATCATCATTATCAGACGCATAATCATCGTCATAATTCATCATCATCATCACCATCATCATCATAATTATCATAAGCATAATCATCACTCTCGTCATCACCATGACGCTCATCCTCCGAAGCGCTGGACGGAATTGCGGTTGAATCCATCGAGGTGAATGAGGCTGTCATTCCGGTCAGATACATCCGTGACGCTCGTCATCCTCCGCAGCTCGAAAAGGGTTTCAACAAGCTGTTATCCCGGTGAGGAGGAGGAGGATGCATCGGATGGATGAAGCTGGACGGAAAGACTGTCATTCCGGTCAGATGCAGCTTGGGAAGGGTTTCAAAAAGCTGTTTTATTCTTTATTAAAAAAAAACTGTGAACTGTGTTGTTCCTGAAAATCGCACCCACCTCCTGAGATTCAGACAGCATATTGCTGACACTAGAACACATTTTTTTTTTCCTGGATGCATCTGACCAGAATGACAGCCTCACTCACCTCGATGGATTCAACCGCAATTCCGTCCAGAGGTCAGTCAAAAAAAGTGTCTCGTGTGAGTACGCCACAAGAGCGCTTTGGGACTTTCCACATTACCTAGAAAGTTCGACCAACTTACATCTTGAACGGTACTTACTAAAAACAAAAACAAAAAAAACAAAAAAAAGTTCTACTTGAGAGCCTACCTCAGTGGGTACACCCATGAACTGGTGAAAAAAAAAAAAAAAAAAAAAAAGTTCGACCGACCTAAGAGCCTACCTCAGTGGGTACAGACCGGTGTTCGAATCCACATGCTGGAACTTGTGATGAGTGAAACCAACTAACTATTTCCGAATTGCCTGGCCCCAGTCAGCTTGACGATACCTCAAACAAAAAAAAAACAAAAAAAAAAAACTTCGCATACACATCGGCGCTTTTTCCTGGAGGTATTTTACCGCAATTCCGTCCAGAGCGCGGTCGAAAAGATCGGTGTGTGAGTACACCCCAAAATTGAATTTACCTGGGCTGGTTAGTCCGATGATAATACCTCAAGGTCATCGCCCTTTAAAAAAAATAAAAATTGACCGTGGTTTGGCGCTTGTCGACATTTCCAAGGGAGAGGGCGTCGCTCCACCACTCTCACCAACGAATCTGCAAAAAATCAGAACGAATCTTCCGCAAGAACATGGAAAGATACACCGCCGCCATACGTTTCGTCGTTTGTGCATGGGGTGAGTAGTGGAACGACGCCTGTTTGTGCTTGCGGTGAGTAGTGGAACGAGGCCTATCCGTCTATACCCCCAAAACACAACGCACCCTCATTTTGACTGTATCTGGACCGAAAGATCGTATGTATACAGTCGTTATCAGGATGCGTTATGTTCGGGGGAAGACGGGTAGAGTCACAACCATCAGCAGCAGCGCTTGTTCTTTCTCCCGCTTCTCCACACGTACTCACACAATCATCAGCGAACTTTCCTGGAAATGTCGACAGAGATTTCTAAACGTACCACGTGTTCCTCCTCATCCTACCTCTTTCTCCTCTCCTGCTTCTTCTACTTCCTCTCCCCTCCTCTCCCCTCCTCTCCCCTCCTCTGCCTGTCTGCTTGTCTGCTTGTCTATTCCCCCCCCCAACCCCCGTGACACCACCCCACCCCACCCCACCCCAGTTCTTTCGCTTCTCCTCCTCCTCCTCCTCCTCCTCCTCCTCCTCCTCCTCCTGCTGCTGCTGCTGCTGCTGCTGCCGATCCACCTCATCCTGTCTCCTCCTGTCTCATCCTAGAGGGACAAAACCATCGCAGGAGAAATGGGAAAAACGTTCGGAAAATGAGAAAAAAGAAGGTTCAAATTTCCAGAAATCCCAATTCCCATATTCGTGAAAAATCGCTCCACTTTGCGTCTCTCCGTTGGACACGTGGCGTTCTTCAATGAAGCAGTAACCAAGGCATGGCGAAAGAAGAGAGAGAAGGTGGGCATGGAGAAAAGAGGAGAAAGGAGGCGGCTATGGAGAAAGAGGAGGGAACGAGGGAGGGAGGGAGGGAGGGAGGGAGGGAAGGAGGGAGATTGGGAAATGTCCCGTCAGTCATCGCGATCGGAACCAGGACGAGACGGTGAGAGAGAGAGAGAGAGAGCTATTGAGATGTCACAAGAGGAAGAGGAGAAGGGATGGAGGAGGAGGAGAGGGAGAGGAGGTGGTGGATTTCGTTCTCCTTTTCTAACGAATTCCATTCGTTGAGAGGGGAGGACGGAAAGTTCGATGTGTGCACGAGGAGGAGGAGGAGCGAGGACGGTGAGAGGAGGGGGGAGAGGGGGGGGGAGAGGAGGGGGGAGAGGAGGGGGGAGAGGAGGTGGAGAAGGATGAGGAGGGGCATTCCACAGTATTAAACAAAGGGCAGATCGCTAACAGCCAACGATGTGTTCTGTGATTACAGAACACTTGCTTTTAAAAGACGGTCCGTATTCTCTTTATCAAGAAAAGACAATGCATCACTATTTTTGCATCATTACAATTATCAGCGTTATATCGATTACCAAGCGTTTCCCAAAACCCGACATTACCCAAAAACATATAATGTCTGCTTCACCGAGCCTCATACCGCACACAAACACACCGCAGAAAGATCCATCCCCAGAGAGAGACAGAGAGAGAGAGGGAGAGACAGGGGGACAGAGAGACAGACAGAGAGAGAGGGGGAAGCCGGGGGGCTGGGGGGAGAAGACAGAGGTCGAGAGGAGGGAGCCGAGAGGGGGGGGGGGGACGGAAGAGAGAGAGAGAGAGAGAGAGAGAGAGAGAGAGAGAGAGAGAGAGAGAGAGAGACTCACCCCACGTGCAATGCACACAGTAAGGGTCTGATCCCACACTACATACGGAAACGGAATCCGTAAAAGTAACGAAAAAGCTGGGCCCGCTCCGGACGGACCGTGAAAGGAAAATTGCGTCCCACAACTCCGAAAAGAATGGCCCTTTTACAGGCATCGCGGCGCAATAATGTGGGAGGGTGGCGGATCAACGGAGGAAAGGGAGTGACGGGAAAAAAAACAAGAAGGCGGGGAAAAAAAGCTACTCCAGCGTTTTCGCGGACGGGTAGGGGTCCAGCACTCCTCACATTTCCGTACTACTTTTTCGCCACCGATCACTCCCAGACCCCACGACAACAAACGTTTCCACTCACCTCCGAAGTCGACGGTGCCGCCTACTACCCCGGAGCACTGTGGGATCTCGAAAAATCCATAAAACTACATACCGTATGTAGTGTGGGATCAGACCCTAATTCCTGTCACGGTCGCTACTCGTCTTCCCTGCGGGGGGGTGCTTCGCCACGCTGTCGGATGACAACAGGAACCGTGCGACAGGCACAAGAGATGGCTACGCGTCACGGGCTGCTGGTCAAGACAGTTGTGCGACAGGCACAACTTGTCACACGACAACGCGACAAGCCTCCCCTACACATCGACCCAGTGGATCACCGCGCAACAAGCCTCCCCTACACACTACACTACTCTCGACATGCAGAAAAGACAACGTATAGCTGTGGTGTGTTTTTCCTTGTTCTAGCGGAAGATCGTTCGGGCCTCGCTGCACATTTCGGGCCTCGCTGCACTACTCTGACATGCACAAACGACAAAAATCATGTCGCTGTATCTTTCCATGTTCTAGCGGAAGATTCACTCTCGTTTTGCACCTTTCAAGAGTAGTGCAGCGAGGCCCGTCGTGAGTAGCGGAGGGAGGGCCAAAGGCTCTGCTCATTTGATTACGCAGACCAGATCCAGCGCCCTACGGTAGCTCGCTTGGTAAGGCAAGCAACTGGCATTCAGGAGGTCTTGGGTTCAATTCGCAGTGGACTCATGTACCTTCCTGCGCAAGCTTGGCACCCCCCACCTAGAGATAGCCCGTTGGTCACCCCAGGGGCATTGAGCAGTGACTGCTGATGTTTGTAGGGGGACGGGACTGGAGGGGGACCGCAGGGGAGCCACAGCGAGTGGCCCATCGAAGAAGCTCGGTCCTGATACTACCAGCTGACCCCTGCCAGGTATCGCCCACCTGCAAAGCCCCCGCATGTTCCCTTGCTTGGTGGGCCACTCGTTCCTGATGCTACCGGCTGACTCCTGGTCGGTATCGCCCACCTGCAGCAGGCCCCGCGTGTTCCCTTGTTGGAGGCTTGAGCTTGGGCTCAGCCTGGCTGCTGCGGGGTTCCCGTAATCATATAATACTGTGAAGTCTATAATGATAAATGAAAGGGTAACTTCAGTACAGTCACAACAGCAGTTTGAAATTACAATTTGGGCATTCCCCTAAACAGAACACACTCCCACGTAACCCTACCTGACGGGGAAAGCTAGCCTGTATACATTACCCAAACTGCAATTGCGGCCCTAGCTCTTGGTAAGGCACAGAAGTTGCATTCACGAGGTCGTCGGTTCAATCCCCAAATCCTCGCGTACGTGCCTGGGCAAGCTTGGTGTTCTACCAGCTTTAGAGAAACCCTTTGGCCCCCCAAGCCAGCATTGGCAGGACCTTGGCTGATGTTGTTGGCTGCTATGCAGCGACAGTATTGGCCATTAGACACTGCCATGTGGGGCTAGAGAGGAGGAGGGGGGGGTTAGGGGGAGGTGCGCCATTGCTCGGCACTCGCACTATCTATTTCCCCCATCGACAATGCCTCTGCCCACCCCTCGTCACCATGATGAGGGACTGGTACAGCCTTGCTCTCGCACCACGGTTGTGGTGCCAACCTACCCCGTGGGCTGGAAAGAGACCCGTTTTGGTTGGGCTTCCCCCGTACTATACATAGATATAGATGCGTACTACCAAGAAAGATGAAATAGATGAGAGAAGAATATAGCTTACCAAAAAAAAAAACTGCTTTTTGCCTCAAGCTTATTTTCAAACTCTTTTTGTGACTCCTGCGGGCCTGAACCAGTAGAAGGGCAGCAGATGGAGCATCTGTCAGTCAAGGTACTGTACTAGGCCCCGCCAGCTGGGTTAGGACGGGTTTTGGTTCAAGGTCATTTTAGGCCGGTTGCAGAATATTTATAGGCTAGGTAGGTTTAGCAGAATGTAGTCAGCCTTAGGTAGGAGTAGGGCACTCTCCCTGGACCTGGTTTGCAGCCTAGGTCTGTGGTCCATGTTTTGGGAGTGCCGCAGGTTTTTCTCCCTGTAAGCTAAGCTGGATGATGCTTCCAGCACATGGTTCTATCGGGGCATTGTGAGGTTTCCCGCCCTCGATTCTCAAATAATAAAAGCATGCTGTTTTATGGGGGGGGGGGGGGGGGAGAATTGGTTGGGCCTTTCTTTAAAAAAAGAGAGAATTGCATCTGTACCCACTTAAAGATGGGAATACCCTCTATACCCAGTCCCAGCACCAACTTGAATGTATACCCGGAAAACGGCCGGTGGAACTTTTTTGCATGCCCAGTACTGAGGTGGACCCAGGTTGGTACCGCAAAATTGTGGTTATAACCAACTATGGGAATGCACAAATTATGGACATACCCAGGCAAACTTATAGGCATACCTGGGACTGAGGTGGACCAGCAAAATTACTGATATATCCTACTACCGGATGGCACCCAAGGAATCCTTCCCCCCCTATCCCCCTTCACCTGCTTTAACCCCCTCACAAGCACCAAGGAGTCTGAAGTAGGGGTGTTTAGGAACTGCAGTGGGAGGCCAGGGTTTAGGGGTTATAAGCGTTAGGAATCAGGAGCCTGAAGAATTAGCACAAGGATAAGAGATGTAGAGTCTGGGGCCCCAGGATAGGGTGAAGAGTTGCTGAAGTAATCTACATACAACCTATAGGGTATGGGCACACGAGGAATCCTCCCCCCCCTATCCCCCTTCACCTGCTTTAACCCCCTCACAAGCACTAAGGAGTCTGAAGTAGGGGTGTTTAGGAACTGCAGTGGGAGGCCAGGGTTTAGGGGTTATAAGCATTAGGAATCAGGAGCCTGAAGAATTAGCACAAGGATAATAGATGTAGAGTCTAGGGCCCCTGGATGGGGTGAAGAGTTGCTGAAGTAATCTACATACTCTGATGCGAAAAGGGACGCTGGACCTGGTTTCCAGCAGGTGTTGCTCCCCGCCAAAAGATTAGAGCTAGGAGATGGACTGCTACTGGTGGGGGCTCGTATGCCACCACTAGCAATAGCAACTGTGTTGCCAAAAAAAAAAATCTAGCGGAAAACTTGAGTACATTCAATTTCAACCCATGGCGCACCATAGAGACCACCTGCGAAAAACTGCCAATGGAACACTTCAAAATTGATAAGAGACTGAATAATTTTATCCCAGCCCATTGACCCCAAGCTGAGGATCTAAGCCCCCCATTAACCACCCCCCCCCAAAAAAAACAAAAAGGGGAAACAGTGGTTGTGGCACACTTTTGGTTTGAAATAGGCAACAAAAGACAAAGTGGTGTCGGTGTTGTCATGATGCGAGTTCCGAAATGCGCAAGTTTTAATTTAGCGGGAGGGGGTCTAAAACTGCGCCAGTTGTTCATTGCCGCCGAATTTGTCGGCGGTGGCAGTAGAGAATAATTTTTTTGCAAATGACAAAATCACACACACAAAGCCAACTTGAAAGAGGGTGAAAAAAGGAAAATGCAGAAAGGATAAAAACGAGGATAGAAAAAAAGTCCCCCGAGCGCATCAACTCGATATATTGCAATAAACTCAAAATGTAAACATGGTGAGAAACACCATAGAATGGTGAGAACCACATAGCATGAAGCACAACTGGCACCAAACCCAACAACTGTTTTGGCCGGCATGCCAGAACCAACCATCCTCAGGGGTCGCGCTGGGTGTGAATATACAGATGAAAGGAAACTACTTATAGTTCTAAGTATTGACACCAATCCTATCGGAGTACCCCAGGAAAAAACAATGCTACGGGCCATAAGGGACGGTGCTTTGTTTCACCAGTTTTTCCAACGCGTCAAGCAGTGAACCCATGGGGCCCAGGTCCCACCAATTTTGTCATTGAAGTGAATAACGACCTCATCAAAGAAAAGGCCCGAAAAACTGCTTTTGCGCAATTCAACCTCATACTGTAAGTACACCCCACTTCTAACCCCGACAAAGTGCTCATAGAATATGCTCTATGAAGATGAGAAGAAATAACGATGAACTTTTGTTTTCTGCTACAAAAATAAATAAAATCTTGCAAGTTTTGATATATCAAATCCTCACCACCCAAGAGAAATTCCTGATTCTTATATAGTGCTTGACAAAAAATCCCTGTAGGTTGCTTACCAATAAACAACGTACAACCAAGATACGGTCACTCATCCATCTGGCTGATCCGTTCTAAAGTCAAATGTTCATTGTACAGACTTGAAGTTCTCGTTGTCAACCCGAATTGTCACGAACAGGGAAACATCATCTATCAACCTACAACCTCTCACCAATTTGGTGTCATTACCCAATCCTTGTAAAAAAACAGACTCGTTATGCATACACGTGAGGCATGTGAGTTCAGGGCTCGAGGCCTTACCCATGGGAATTCCTATAACGACCTTGCCCATAGCCTATATATAAGTATTATTTAGGTCAAAAACAATAAAACGAATAAGCAAGGAAAACCTAACCGTTTTGTACCTGGACTCACTGATAGGAATACAACAAAACCGAACACGTTTCTTTCCGGTACAGTACAAAAACTTAAAATATCATTTTTCCCTCAACATACTGATTGTCCATTTAACAGCGGAAATGATTACGGGATGGGGAAGTTGACATACTATTTCTTTAACATCATAAGTACGCCCTAATATTTTTTTATCAACAACAACTTTTTGTTTTCATCATCAAGAAAGGAAGGTAGCATCTGCGTACTGCTAAGATTAAAATGACTCACCTTAGGAACTCTTATAATTATCTCGTTAATACAGGCTGATGTAATGAGAGCGATTTTTCGTGTAGGTTGTGAACAAGACGAACAAATAGGCCACCATTTATAAACATCCTTATGCTTAGGTAATACGTAAGAACGCCCCAACTTCCTCCCTCTTGCCCACGGGGACAACTGCGCCAACTTACTATTCCTATACACCTTAGCACACTCAGACAACACAATATCTTAATCAACTTTGATAACTACCAGACCCTGATTGTCAACAAACAACTTGCGCAGTTTTTTTTCGTATAACGAAGGGCAACAAATATATGTGTCCCCCATATTATGGTCAAGAGGGCACAAAACCAATCCTTGAAGAGAATCTTTCCATCGTTATACACATTTTGAAGAAAGATAAGGGTTGGGCATGACAATTTACGAACACAGTCGGTGGAATCCAAATAGGAGACCAAAACATTCTGGCGAAAGAAATCGGTGAGGGAAAAGTTAATTTGGTTACAAAGGTTAGAAATATTAATACGATAATTGAGAAGAACAATATTTTTGGAGTTACGAACTTAGAAAGGGACAAAATCAACCTGGTTAAAACAAA